ACACCCAGATATTTAATATTCCCAGACTTTAGCGGTGTGGTAGATATACTCTGGAAATCACACTTTACAGGTAAAACTATGGATTTACTCCAGTTAATGGAGTAGTCTGAGATGGATGAGAATTTATTTAATTAATTTATTTAAGTGTGATTGTCACAGAAAGAGAAGTTTGTGAGTTTAGGAGGAAAAGTAATACATCATCTGCATAAAGGCTTATCTTGTGGTGTATATTTTCTGTTTGAATTCCTTTAATATTATTATTTTGTCTGATAGCAGCTGCTAGCGGTTCTATAAAAATAGCAAATAGCGAGGGAGAGAGTGGGCAACCCTGCCTGGTACCCCTCTGGAGACCAAAGCATGGAGAAGTATGATCATTTGTTTTGACAGAAGCTCTTGGGGAACTGTATAAGATTTTAATCCAATCTATGAAAGAGTTTCCAAATCCATATTTATATAAAGTAGCGAATAGAAACTTCCAATTTACTCTGTCAAATGCTTTCTCTGCATCTAAAGAAACAACTGTAGTTTCCAGGTTATGAATAGTGGCATAGTCTATTACATTAAGTAGCCTGCGTGTATTGTTGGTGGAGTGCGTGCCCTTCATAAATCCTGTTTGGTCAGCGTGTATTATACCAGGAGTGACCTTCTCTAGCCTTCTTGCTAGGGTTTTGCAGATGATTTTAAGATCTGCGTTAATAAGTGATATTGGGCGATAACTGGACGGGAGCGTGGGGTCTTTGTCTGGTTTAAGGAGCAGGATTCCTTATAGAGTTCAGCGGGAAAATCATCTGGCCCAGGGGCTTTATTATTCGGCATATGTAAGAGAGCTTCCTGGAGTTCAGCCATTGAAACAGGTGAATCCAGAGCCCTGATCTGTTCATCATCTAACCTTGGCAAATCTATATTGTTCAGAAATGCATCGATGTTAGAGCTAGATGGATCAATTTGTGATGTATATAAGTTTTTATAATAATCTCTGAATGCATTGTTGATTTCCCAGCTGAGTCCTTTAAGGAAGAAATAGTTATTTTTACTTTATTCAATTTCAGTTGGCTGGCTAAGAATCTGCCGGATTTATTGCCATGTTCAAAGTTCTCCAAGCGTAGTCTTTGCAACTGAAATTGGGTCTTTTTATTAATAATTTCATTTAATTCAAGTTTTGATTTTCTCAGATCATTCAGCATGTGTTCCTGTGGGGAGGTAGCAAGGGTAGTTTCTAATGTTTTTATTTTTTGTTCTAGCTCTAATTCACAAGATCTCTCTTTCTTTTTTTTGTATGATGAATAGGAGATTATTTTACCTCTCATGACTGCTTTTGCTGCCTCCCAAAGAAGACATGGTGAGGTTCCTGGCAGGTCATTAGTTTCCATATATATTGCCCACTCCTTTTTCAAGTAACTTATAAAATCTAGGTCTTTAAGCAATGATGCATTAAATCTCCAACTTCTAGTTGGCCGTGTGACCCTTTTTTGAGTAAGAGTGATAGAAACCGGTGCATGATCACTGATAGTGATAGGGTGAATCTGAGTGTTGGAAATGTCTGTCAAAATTGAGCTGCTAACCAAAAAATATTCAAGGCGAGAATATGAGTGGTGGATTGGTATATTCTCTAAGAGTGGGGTGGTGAGAACGCCAAACATCGCAAAGACCAAAATCACTCATGTATTGTTTAAGGATGTCTATTGATTTCCAAATACGGTGACCACCTGCCGTACTGAGCCTGTCAGCTGCTGGATTACACACCATGTTGAAGTCCCCTCCTAATATAAGAGCTGTGTCTGAGTGAGCAGTGAGTGAGCTCAAGAAAGCATGAAAAAAGGAGGGGTCGTCAACATTTGGGCCATAGATGTTAGCAATGCATAAAGGAGTATTTTGAATCGAAATGTTAACAATAATGAATCGACCCTCTGGATCAATAGTAGTGGTATTATGATTGAAGTGTGTTTCTCTATTTATCATAATGGTGACACCATTCAAACAAGGTGTGCCTCAAGGCTCAGTGCTTGGACCCCTCCTTTTCACCATTTACATGCTCCCACACAGCTGTGTATCAGCACCAAACTATCCACTCAGCTTCCCCCTCTGTCATTTGTTAACTGTCTGACTGAAATAAAAACCTGGATGTCATCCAATCTACTCAAGCTGAACAGCAGCAAAACGAAGCTCCCAAGCCGTTGCTCCTGAGGGTAGGTGATCTACTCCTCAAAGTGGATGGTTGCTCCATCTCTCCATCCCAAGAAGTCCGCAACCTTGGTGTCATCTTGGACTCCACCCTTTCCTTCCAGTCACATGTCAAACTTATTACCAAATCTGCTTTCTACCACCTCAAAAACATCTCCAGACTTCGATCATCACTCTCAGACTCTGTGGCAGAGTCTCTCATCCATGCTTTCATCACCTCCCGCCTGGACTACTGTAATGGTGTCCTGTATGGGGTACCCAGCAAGGTCCTGGACAGGCTACAAGAAGTCCAGAACTCGGCTGCCAGCGTTCTCATACACACTAGGTTGTGGTAGCACAATACCCCAATCCTCACTCACCTTCACTGGTTCCCGGTCAAAATCCTACTCCTCACCTATAAATCTCTCCATGCCACTGCCCCCCAGTACCTACTGGACCTTCTCCACCCCTACTCCCCCTCACAGAACCTGCGGTCCACCAACAAGGTCCTGCTCTCTGTCCCCGTCACAAGACTGCGGACTTTTGGGGACAGAGCCTTCAGCATCGCAGTCCCCACCCTCTGGAACTCCATCCCCACAGAGATCTGAAATACTCCCTCTCTGGACACTTTCAAAAAACTCCTAAAAACCCACCTTTTCACAAAGGCATTCAACCCTGAATGACTTTTTATTGCTCTGTCTCTGCAATTATGTGTAAAGCGTCCTTGGGTCTCGTGGATAGCGCTATATAAATATAAGTTATTATTATTAATTATTATTTCCAAATATTAATATTCATAATTTTATTAACCAATAATTACGTAGGTACACTACACTGTTATAAAAAGATGAGATCTGAGTCACATATAAGCAAGAAAATCAGATTTGGGTCACTTTAGCCTGTAGTCTGAACGTAGCCTAAGAGTCCACACAAATCCAAAAGCAGAGGTGATATCCAAACAGATAATACAAATGGTGAGATAAAAGATAACAGGTCCATAAATGAACCAAAATACGAAAGCAGGCTTAAATGCAACAAAGATTCAGTCATGGTAACTGACAGGAGTGCACACACACAATCAGGTAGACAGAGTAACAACAAGCTCCAATGGTCTGACACGGAGCGGCCTGAACACAGGGTTTATATAGAGGTGCAAACGAGCAAGGAGGGAGATACACCAGGTTCAACACATCAGGGTAATCAGGCACAGTGAACACAAGACGCAGGTAACTAAACACAAGACAAGTAGGTAACAGGAACTAAACTCAGCCAAAAAAGAAACGTCCCTTTTTCAGGACTCTGTATTTTAATGATAATTCTGTAAAAAACAAATGACTTTACAGATCTTTACTGTAAAGGGTGTAAATAATGTCTTCCATGCTTGTTCAATGAACCATAAACAATCAATGAACATTCACCTGTGGAACTGTCGTTAAGACACTGACAGCGTTCAGACAGTAGCCAATTAAGGTCACAGTTATAAAAACTAAACACTAAAGAGACCTTTCTACTGACTCTGAAAAACACCAAAATTGTTACTTTTGATTTTGACTCCCCCTTTGTTCAGGGACACATTTTTCCATTTCTGTTACATGTCTGTGAAACTTCAGTTCCGTTTATGTCTTTGTTGTTAAATCTTTTTATGTTCATACAAATATTTACACGTTAAGTTTTCTGAAAATAAAAGCAGTTGTAGGTGAGAGGACGTTTCTTTTTTTTGATGTGTATAGAACCCAAAACACAGAACAGACAAGGCAGATCAAATAATCAAAAACAGGAGAACAGACTTGAATAAAGATCAAAACACAATGCAGAACAAACTAACCATAACACAGACGTAAACCAAGAATCAATATACCTAATACAGAGCGGGCCAACAAAAAGTACAAAAAACTGTATCAGACCAGGATTGTGACAGTAATGTGAGTAATGTAACTGATAGTGGAACAATACATTTCAAAATGACATTGATGAAAAATGCATAATGGCCTCATATCTGATACCTATCTAGCAGAGCGGACAATTGATCAAATAAATATTGTCAGCCAGACCTCTGTAATCTGCTCCTCATCTCTCGACTCAGACAAAAGACTCGAGGCTACATTAACTACTACAAGCATAACACACACCCAAATCTCTGACTGAACTGTCAGTGGATGAGTTACATTGAGGATAATGTTTTGCCGAAGAAGAATGTGTGGGGAAAAGAAGACTGTCTCTGGGTTTGCTCCAACAATTGTGATCCTTTTCTTTAACCTGTCCCATCACTGAATTGTAAGAGAACATTGTGAGGCCAGACAGAAAACAGTCCATCCTGAGTCTGGACTCTTTAGGAATGAACTGCTAAATCTGTGCTCTGTTAAACAAATAGTTGCATTTTGTAAACTCAGTTGACACAACCAGAGTTTTTTGAAGTTTTACATTTTTACTGTGTTAAGATTTATTTATTAAATATTGAACATATCAGCAGGTAGAACTTTTAAAATCACTTATGAACTCAACTAAGGATGTTAAAAATCTCAGAATGTTTTGCAGATGTCAACAATGACTATCTGATCTTTTAATATAACTCACAGTGGTCAGAGCAAATGCTGTCTGCAGTAATGAATCAAATGGTACTGTGACGTTTTGTGGGATAACCTGCTTACAAAATTCTTAAGTAGTTATAAGAGCAGGCCTGGAGAAGGCCTGGTCTGGGGTAGAACTGAGGACATACAAGATGGCATCATCAGCATAAAAATGGACATTGCAATTCTCAGTTGGAAAATAAACATTATTTTTATTATTTGTCTAATAAAGACTATGTCATGTTATGTATGTAACTGTACCTTTGTTTGCAGGGATGGCCTCAAAGTAACAGTCATGTTGGTCTAAAGAAGAGGGGAAGACATGAACAGGACACGCTAAATAAAGAGTACCAAATGAAGTCTGTACTGACGTCCAAAAATGGGACAGAAGTCTGGAAGCGTCGTCGCTGTGGAGTCCCAGATTATCCCACCTTAACGCAGGTTGGCATGTCATACTACAACCTGAAGAAGAAGAAGGGAGGCCTGAGTAGACAGCAGCGCAGGAAGCGGTTTGCGCTGTTTGGAGGGCGCTGGGAGAAGACTGACCTCACTTACAAGTAAGAAACACTAATATTCTGTACTTTGGTTTATTCAGTTAATCCGTTTACCACTGTTTTTGTCACTATGTTTTAATCATGAATGCACTGCTTAATGTTTTGATGGATGTAAGATCAATGAAATTTATATATTTAGATAAATGCAAAGAGGTCTGTATTGAAAATTACTATTGGCCGATCGTTCATAAAGTTTATCTGTCTAGTAAAAATTTATATTCGGTTTATCTATCTATCTATTTATCTTGTGTGTGTGTGGTAAAATAAAAAAGTAAAAAGTCTGAACATTCACATTATGTCAACTGTCACTTGACTCATACCAGCATTACAACTGTCCTGCCCCCTACTCTGCTTCCGAGTGGCTAACCCTAACCAACCAACCTGACCAATAGAGGCAACAAATACTAGTCAGTCAATCAGAGTAGAAAATCTGGTGGGGAAAAATAACGTGCAGCTGTTCACCATTTGTCACCCTTCATTTACCTGATTACGTCCACCTGATTGCTCCTTAAATTTGGAGATAATAAACTGTTGTTCATAGTCAACTTTTCATTCTGGACCTCCTAATTTTACATGATCCTTCTAACCAGATCGGACTATTGTCATAGATTCACAGCCATTAGGTTGGACCTTGGTCATGAAATTCAACCTGCTCATATATAGAAGATTAGAAAGTCCTGTATCCTGGAACTGGAGGAGCTGCATATGAAACAGAATGCACACATCAAAGAACAGATACACAGGGGTGGCAGGATGATACACAAGAGGAACAAAGGACACATGAGCTTGACAGTAAAAGGGAAGATGACAACTGATTTTGCTGATCCTGTGCCTACTAATCCACCATCTGAAGCAAGGTCGGAAAGCAATGAACTGAGCTGATCCCCAAGAGTGTACAGTGGGACTGCTGTGGAACAGCAAACCTGACCTTTTCAGATATATACCACGTGTTGCGAATGCCCTGAGCTGCCAGTCCCCAGTTTGATTCTTGGCTGATCAGACCGTTGCTGCATGTCATTCTTCAACTCTGTTTCCCTGCATTTCCTGTCTCTTTCCACTATCACTATCATATAAAGCCTTAAAATGCCGAAAAACCTAAAGCCCGCCTCCAAAGTCATTGCTAACCACCTCTTTACATTGTGTTCAGGCACACACACACACAAAGGGCCTTTCCGAAACTAGACCCTTGCCACTTCTGGTCGTAATCACCCTCACAACTAAATCGAGCTCCCTAACCCGCATAGGGTATAAATACTTCGGCCAACTTTTGGACGAATGACCCTCTCCCCAGCGTAGATAGGATCTGGCGTTACTGCACTCAATGCTATAATACGTGTATCAAATAAAGATTCAGGGTTGATGTTGAGGAAAAGTGTGTTTTTAGCAATAACGAAACTGATCATTTGTCATTTATTTTATTTGTTTGTAAACCAAATTATTGCTTAGATTTTTCGAATATTTCTTTAAGACTTCAGCTATTAATGAAAAAGAGACATTACATTATTTTATGAAAAGACTGATAATCATTGTAAATGAATAGCCTATATATTTTGAACCCCTTTAGATTCAGGGTTGATGTTGAGGAAAAGTGTGTTTTTAGCAATAACGAAACTGATCATTTGTCATTTATTTTATTTGTTTGTAAACCAAATTATTGCTTAGATTTTTCGAATATTTCTTTAAGACTTCAGCTATTAATGAAAAAGAGACATTACATTATTTTATGAAAAGACTGATAATCATTGTAAATGAATAGCCTATATATTTTGAACCCCTTTATCTTATATGAAAAATATTACATTTATATATACAGATAGTCTAAAAATAAACAACATTTCAAAATAGAAATTAAAGCATATATATATTGAAGCATTATATGGTCTGAAGAATTTAAAACTGTTAAAATATGTAAAGATTTAACTATTTTTCTTTAATGCCTTCCTTGCTTGTTACTTGATACCCCTGTGTATTTAGTTGTTGTCGTTAAATGTAGGCTATTTTGATTTGGCAGAAAATTTTCATATTAGATGAATATGATTCAATAAAAACGACAGTTGTATTGTATTAAATACAATATAAACTTTGAGCCACGTTGTTAACCTGTGTATGGTGATATAGTAGTGTAGTTACAGAATTTAAAAATCCTACATGTTTACAGACAGTCACATGGAATTCACATTTGAAATAAACGTCCGTCATCGTGCAGCAAAGGCGTTACACACCTTCAACAAGCCAGCATCGATGCTCACTCGGCATTAGAGGGTTTAATAACCCACAACCACTTCGCCCTCGTTGGCCCATTTTTTAAAAACTGTTATATAAATACATAATTTACGTTACACCGGCCCCAAAGTTGCATCGGCCCACCGGGCATTTGCCCGGTATGCCAGATTACCAGTCCAGCCCTGGACACGTGGCAGTTTTGAGCATGTTAAGCTCCAGGTTGTTTTGGACGCACCAGAGAGCCAGCTGATCAACCTCCCGTCTGTAGGCCAACTCGTCACCGGATGAGGACGATGACCGTTGTGTCGTCAGCAAACTTCAGGAGTTTGACAGATGGGTCTCTTGAAGTGCAGTCGTTGCTGTAGAGGAGAAGAGCAGTGGGGAAGGTACACACCCCTGGGGGGTGCCAGTGCTAATAGTCCGGGTGCTGGATGTGATGTTTGCCAGCCTCACCTGCTGACTCCTGTCAGTCAGGAAGTCTGTGATCCACTGATAGGTGGAGGCTGGCACAGTGAGCTGGGTGAGTTTGGTGCTGAGGATGTCCAGGATGATGGTGTTGAAGCTGAAGTCCACGAACAGGATCCTTGCATATGTCCCTGGAGAGTCGAGGTGTTGCAGGATGTGATGCAGACCCACGTTGACTGCATCATCCACTGACCTGTTAGCTCTGTAGGCAAACTGCAGGGGGTCCAGCAGAGGGCCTGTAATGTTTTTCAGGTGGGCCAACACCAGTCTTTTTTAAGGACTGAAGATCAGGAAGGCTCCTGGCCCTGACGGTGTGTCTCCATCCTGCCTGAAAATCTGTGCAGACCAGCTGGCCCCCATCTTCACACAGATCTTCAACAAATCACTGGAGCTGTGTGAAGTTCCCTCCTGCTTCAAACGCTCCACAATCATCCCAGCTCCCAAAAAACCCTCCATCTCTGGATTAAATGACTACAGGCCCGTCGCCCTGACATCTGTAGTATACCTGGTAAATGCCGCCACATCATGGTCTTAGCTAGCTAGCCAAATGATAAAAACAATCCAAGTATTCTTAGCACAACTTTTGTAGCTCTAACACAAGCCGCTTTCACACTGCATTATTTTCTGGGAGTATAACGGCAATATGCGAAGCCGGAAAAGAGGGTCCAATTTGATCTGCTTCTGAGCTGGGAACGTTCATGGTAACAGAGACGGACCGATGTCTATGTGAAAAGCCACAGCTGGCATGCAGTTGCCTACACGAAACGGGGCAGACAATGGGGCGAAAGGCAGGGTACACCCTGGACAGGTCGCCAGTACATCCCAGCGCCACACATAGACAAACAACCACTCACGCTAAGGACAATTTAGAGTCACCAACCTAGGACGCATGTCTTTGGATGGTGGGAGGAAGCTGGAGCACCTGGAGAGAACCCACGCAGACACGTGGAGAACATGCAAGGCCGGGGCAACTGGGGTTTGAACCCACGACCTTCTTGCTGTGAGGTGACAGTGCTAACCTCTGCATCACCGTGCCACCTGGCGCGTAACATGCAAATACATTTATTTACTACATCCAATGTGATGTACCACGCCTAAACGCAATTTCACATGAGTGCAACAGCCTCTGTATTTAATACGGTTGAAAGGAAGGTGCAAACCACCAAGTGTTGTGCAGAGATGGTTGCTGTTATCGTTGCCAGAAGTAGACACAGCCGTAATGAAAGAAGACGTAGAGAAATTAACAATATTAGATAATATTATTTCATATCCAGTGTATTGAAATACAATAATTTTATTTATTCAATGAACTATATGAATCGATTTGTATTTTGTATTTTCCTTTAGCTTCGGCAATACTGTTGTTTTAACACTCATGCCAATAAAGCAAATTTCGTTTCGACCTGAGTTCTCCGTGCGATGGTAGAATTTAGAAAGTTGCGTGGCGCTGCGGAGAGCCCCCAGCTGCATAGTGCATGGATCACGCGTAAAAATCATCCAGCCAGAGGGAATGATCACCAACTGTTCACAGCGTGCCGGTCGTAATATAGCGACACAACCCGTTGTAGGGAATGGGGCATTGGGGCGCACAGGGCCAGGGACAGAAGATTGCGGAGCGACTGTGCACGGTGTGGACGGTCGGTGATCGTTCCCTCTGGCTGGATGAAGCACGATCTGCAGGCATTTCCTCGCATCTGGGTCATTACAGCATACTGTATCTGTTTCTGCTGGGGTTTGCCAAAGCAGTTTTTCCAGGTTGCTGTCCCCAGTACTTAGTACAATCTCAGGCAGGATGGGCCGCATGGACGCACTGAACGAAACAAGGTTTTTACGCATTAAAACACGCAAAACCCTCATTTAAATACTGCCACCTCCATTGTGTTTGCTCCTGTTGTCATCTACGTAATAATTCTTAGTAAATCACCCATAACAGGTACTAAAATTGCACGTGCAATATTTTAGAATGCACATGCAATTTAGTAGGATGCTAGTAAATCTTAGTCGCCAAACGGAAAATCGACCCACATTTGGCGCTTGTCGTGTGTTCATTTTGTTAATTTGGTGGGTGAATTAGAAAACCACTCTGATGAGGAAAGTGGAGATGTTTCCTTCAGAAATAGGATATTCTTTGTGGCAATGGACAGAATTATTTCTGAACTAAAAACCTGATTCACTATTACCAAGGAGATCTGTGATGAATTTTCCTTCCTATGGAAGTTCAGGCCAGGGTCAGAAAACAACATCAAGACATCTTGTCAGAAATTGGCGTGAAAATAGTTATGCTGGAGGACAAGTACCCCACATCACAAAATTCTACACCGCAACTGAGCCCAGTGGAACTACAAATACACTGACTGCAGCTCCAAAGTATCTATGGAGACCTGTGCATACTCCTGTGCTTCTTCCTCACATTAGCTGTGACCGTGGCTGTGAGCGCACATTCTGCAAAATGAAACTCATTTAAAACTATGCGTTCCACGATGAGCCAGGAAAGGCTCAATGGACTCACTATCCTCTCCATTTAGAGAAAAGTCAGGTGACTTGCATGTGGAGCTTAACACTTGTCAGCAGCACATCACAAGTCAATTATCATCATTTCAGTTGATACAGCCATATACCGTAATGTAGCCCTCAAGATTGAATTTGATTTATTGGTCCACTCATGATTTGAGCTTATGATGTAGTAATTTATTTTATCAATGTTTGATTTTACTTTTCTCTAATTCCTAAATCATTGAAGGGCTTTTTGACTCCCTTCTTCTGTTTTAAGGTAAAAGGAAGAATATAATGTCACTGTCTAATTTTAAATATAAATATTTTAAAATAAAACTGACTTGTGCTTTTTAATCATATTGAGTATATGCAAACAGAGCATGGCCTGGATGGAGCTATAACACTGAATGTTGAAATGGTTGTTAGAGACTCCATCTGTGTCACTACTAACAGCCAAGAGCTTATTTGAAATAGAACATGTTGGTATTAGAGCTAAGGGTGGGTGAGTGGGTGCTGGTGGTTATGCTGGGTGTAGATGAGGGGCCCAGTTTGGAAAATTTTGCACACGTCCATTGCTGGAGTACTCTATTCTGCGGGAAGCAGGCTTTTGTTTCCCAAACCCATTCGGGATGTGTCCATTCGGAGTGGGTTTGGGAAACAAAAGCCGGCTGATTGCTTGGCTCCCCATATTGCTGCTGGTGGCATTAGCCGGAACCGCAGTATGGCTGCTTGGCTGAACCACTTATCCGATTGACTTCACTCTCAACACCGCACTCCCTCGGGTCCTCAGCAATACATCCGTCAAGTGTTAAAACGATCTGATGAACATCCTATTTGCAGTAACCCTGCTCATCTCAGGTAACCTCACATTTGAGAGATTGTTAAATTTTTTATGGTGTTTTTAGTGTACTTAATGTACTGGTCACATTTTTGTATTTTTTCATAATTTTTTTGTACTTTTGTTGTTTATCAGTTTCTGAGTTATCTAAGTTTTATCCTGTGCCCTGACTGTACTTGAAATTTCCCACTTAATAATAATTGACTGATCTGAACAAATATAGTTGCAATAGCACAAAGACATATTGTTTTCTTAATATAAGTCCTGCCCACAGCCTTTGAGCAAACTTTGAAGGTCAGCTATAGCAAAACTGTATGGAATATCAAAAATCTGAAAAAGTTACTTTTTCCAGCTTGGTCCAGAAATGTTCTGTACCAAATTTTGTGATGATTAAAATGGTGGGATGCATGGCTTCTATGGACATGGATTCATCTTGACCCAGAATCCAGACGTACATATCTTCTTTGTTATAGCGCCAGCATCTGGCCAAATTCCATGCATTGGGCCAGGAAAATATAGACAGATTCATTCTTTCACAGTTAGATTAAGTTGACCTGATCACTCCTTATTTAAAAACTGCACTCCCCAAGATGAACATGTGAGACTAATTTAACTTGTGATAACTTCTAATCTTGTATTTTTTTTCTTTCTAATTCAACAGCCCATATGTCTTTGTTGTCCTTTTTTGAGTTTTGATAAACCTTTCTTCAGGGATTGAAGTTGTCTGGCTTTTTTCCAATGCATTCTGAGCCGATGCCCACATTGACAGTCAACTTTTCATTCTGAACCTCCTAATTTAACCTCCCCCTCCTAAGCTGGGAGGGGGGTTGAGAATGGGGAACTAATGGTTACTTAAAGGAAAATCTGTTTACATTTTAGCTTTGCACGAAGGCTTGCAGTGTAAATTGTTTGTAAATTCAACTTGTCAAAACAGCAAAGTTGGCAGAGTTGCCCGCCACCTTGTAAATTATGGAATCATCCTGTAATTAAAAGTTACATTGCTTAATTATTATTGTAGAGACTTGTCTTTGGGGGGTAAAAAGAGTTGTGAATCAAGTCAGTGCTGCCTCATTCTGCAATATTATGTTTGTGTGGGTGCATATGTGCTTGTGTCAACAGTGTAGACAGATTGTTGCAACATTACAGAGACAGGGTTGTTTGTAAAAAAAACAAACAAATCTGTTAGTATGAGAAACAGAGCACAGTGCTCCGTAGGCTGATGCATTCCATATATTTGGGTCAACATCCCAAAGTAAGAAGTGAAAATTCAAGGATAATTTGAAAATTGGAAACCCAGAAACAGGAACTGGCTGAGGTTATCAGGCTGGTGGCTAGTCCAAGGGGGTAAGCCAGAGAACAGTGAAGCTGACCAAAAGGCTGGATAATAGCAAACTGCAGGCTAGCGGGCTGAGGTGCAGACTGGATAGAGGGCTGATTGCTGGCAGGCCGGAGTGAAAGCTGAAGGCTGGCAGGCTGTATACTGTACTCTACTTCTGTGTATGGGTGTGTTCAAAATCGCTTACTAACGTACTGCCAGCTATCTTCAGCCTGTATGCACTGCATTCTGCCTACAAAATAAACATTTAAGTATGCTATTACCAGCAGACTGTTTACAGGTACAAAGCAATACATCTGTAAAACATCACTGTAATGAATGTATTGCTGCACCTGCAAAGTGTGGATGTTTTAATGGATGTAATAAAATTAATAAATATTCAATTACAAAAAACTACACTTTATTATTATTATTCCAGGCTATCATACAGTGCACACAGTTACATACTATACTACTACCATACCATAAAAACAAGGATGGCCTCAACAAAAACAGTCACTATCTACTTAGTATATTATGTCAACACAAGTCAGGTTGGTTTGGGTTTAAGTTAGTTAGGATTGGTAAAGTCATGGTCAGCACTTTCTCTTTTTATGTTAAGTACTTCTAACAAATAAAACAGGACACATTCTTTTTCATTATTGTTCGTAGTTTGTGGATCAGAAAATCAAAAAACAAGCTGCCTCTACAAAATGGGAGCAAAATACTTCTGATCAACACTCTAGACTTGGATTTACCCAATGAACTTTAAGGCTTTCACATGAATACCTTTATCCACACAATGTGTCAGCAGTGTTTACATGCACTGATTATTTTTGGTAGTAAATTTAGTGATTTTTTTTATGCTGCAAAAATTGTATGACATGATGTTGGAAATATGGAATATATGTATTTGTATATGGAAACTCATCTGCAAGAATTTAATAAGCCTATATGATAAAAATATGTTTTGTCATGAGTGCTCTCTAATACAGCACATTGGTGTGTGTGTGTGTGTGTGTGTGTGTGTGTGTGTGTGCGTGTGTGTGTGTGTGTGTGTGTGTGTGTCCAATAGGATTATACGTTTCCCCTGGCAGATGAGTGAGGGCAAAGTGCGGGATGTCCTCCAGGAGGCATTTGGTGTGTGGAGTGCAGTGACTCCGCTGAGATTTCAAGAGCTCACCTCTGAGAAAGCTGACATCATTATTGACTTCAACAGGTAAGAAAGGGTCAATAGCAAGCACCACAGTTAGGTTTTTAATATGCAGAGAAAAGGATTTATCCTAAAACGGGCATTTGATATACATGTGTATATATATCCTAGGACTGCACTCTTCTAGACAGAGACTTCAAATGTTGTATGCAGCCTTCTTCTGCTGTTTGTCGATCAACACGATGTCTGGTTGGTTAGCCATCACCAGTTTGTCAGTCTGGATCTTGAAGTCCCACAGGATCTTAGCTCGATCATACTCAACTACCTTAGGGGGTGTCTTCCATTTTGACCTTGGGACTTCCAGCTTATACCAGTTATTATGTCGTATCTGCTGGTCATTATATTTACTGCATGTCAGCTAGTGTGTGTTTATGGGCTCACTGATATCTCAGCCAACCTGTCTCTTTGTGCTTCACATTGTTTTAATACCTATTGATTGATTAATAAAGGTTTAGATTTTAATATAACCATATAACCATAACCATAACACATTTCCAGTAATACCTGCCTGCAAGGGGGGCTTAGACTATCTTCCAATGTCTTAGCTGATCGCTGACTTAGCTGACTAATAAAAACTAAACTAAAACTAAGCATTTTCAAAAAATAAAAACTAAACTAGCAAACCCACGTTAAAAAGTAATTAAAACTAAGCTGGTGTCGAAGAGATTCGCCTAGCTTCTAACTGTCTTCTTCCGAACACCTACCTGAACCTACCCTTACTCTGAAATGGCACCTGACTGAATAGCCCTAGAGCCAAATACCACCCCAGCCACGCCCGTTAACGACAGCTCTCTTCTCATTGATCAGTGCACTTGGTATAGTTGCTAGGATTGTGTTTAGTGGCCAGGAAAATAGGCCCCAAGGATAAGTTAATTTCGTTGGCTAGAGCAACCTATAAGAACCTTAAAGATGGTAAACACACTTTACCTAATGAATGACTACCTTAGTGAAGAAATAAATTCAATGTCTACTACTGGTAATTTAAATGCAGTGATTACATATTTTATTGCAAAATTAAGCAAGGGCAAGCATACAACTTAAACTGATTAAAACTGATAAAAACTGATAAAATTCAAAACCTGATTATGATAGCTGAGCTTGAGTATTTTGGTGTCTTCTTTTTTGGAGAGAAGGGGAGTGGAAGGACCTGAGGCTTTGTCCAAAGCCCTCAAATTGTCTCTAAAAGTCTTCAGTCTTTGTTGCACTTGAGACTTCAGAGTCCGATAATTCTTCAGTTGGTTTGGTCGTTGTGGTTACCCTCTGTGGCTCGATCTCTTGAAGTCCACTGAAGAAAACTCTGAGGTGTTCTCTAGTTGTTTGCTGTTCAATTCCCCAACTCTTGTCTTAGGCTCAAAGTTGTCTTTGGGTGTAATTGTGTGTGTGTCGGGGTCAGGATATGTCCATGTTTGGTCCCTATATATATACAAAAATAACTAAGGACAAGGAACCCAAACATAACCCAAACCCCATAACTACAAATGATTTGCTAAGAGAAATATTGTAGTGTGCTTCTGGCATTATGGGCTGTCAACACATATATCTCAAATATTCACAAATTTATTGGACATACATGACACCATATACACATGCAACCTCCAGCAAGTTTAGCTGCTTTTTTAATTGGTCTGACTGGACTAATGTAATGTTCACAATTCAGCATTCACACATTCAACTGTTGTAAAAAGCAAGAAGTTATTGCTGTATCAAAGCATAATTTAAATTGATATTTCTTTTTGATCCTCCCACCTGGATTGCCAACATCCTAAGCATACAGAAATAGCTTTAGATGAGTGATATTGCATATTAAATTGCTTCTGTACAATAAAAAAGTTCTTGTGTAGGTACTGGCATGGAGACAACTTACCATTTGATGGTCCTGGAGGAATCCTCGCCCACGCCTTTTTCCCCAGGACACACAGAGAGGGGGAAGTCCACTTTGACTATGATGAGCATTGGACAGTGGGCAACAGTGTGGGTGAGTATATTTGAAATAATGGAGGTCTCGGTTTATGTTGAACAAAATCAGATTTTAAAGGGGTTTTCTTTAAAATTACAGCTCGTCTGTTCCTCATTAGAATCCACTAAAGAGACAAACTGAACAATTTATATTAGTGTCACTGTTACTTTATCCCTTGCTGTCCCGTATAGGCACTGATCTCCTACATGTGGCAGCTCATGAGTTTGGCCATGTCCTGGGCCTGCAGCACTCCCTGGAACTTGATGCTGTGATGTGTCCTTTCTACAGCGACTCCTACCCTCTGCAGCTGAGCGAGGACGACAAGAGGGGCATCCAATATCTGTATGGTCCCCCTCGGCCTGCACAGCCTGACATAACAGAGACCAATGAGATTGACATTGGAATGGTGAGACATACTGTAAATACTGGGAATAGACCTCAAAGCTACATGCACTGTAATTCAAGATTTCAAAGTCTTGCATTTTGCAGCTTCTCATAATAGTCCACAGACACAGATGTCCCTGCTGTGTATGTCATTGTGTTCCAGCCGGACGCCTGCAGAACAAACTTTGATGCTGTGTCCATGATCAGGGGAGAGCTGTTCTTCTTTAAGTTTCGATATGTCTGGCGAATCCGTGATGGGCAGCTACAAGCTGGCTATCCAGCCTTGGCTTCACGCCACTGGAGAGGCATTCCAGACCACATCGATGCTGCATATGAAGACAAGTCTGGCAACATCTGGTTTTTCCAAGGTTGGTGATAATACAAAAGAAAACTTGAAAAGGTGCTGCTGAAGACTTGCAGTTGAAACATTTGAGACAGTTGAAATACTATAAAAGCTGAAGTCACAGTTCAAATGGTCTTATATACAAATACTGAAGGACGATCTTCAGAGGAGAAGATCTGAGACCTGGAAAGGGTTGAAGAGTCAGCTGACACGCAATTTGTGCAACTGACTGTTCACTAAACCCCTCCCCCTTAAGCAATGACTGTCCAATCATAGCTTAGTAACTGTAACTAGGCAAGGCAGGTCAGGCTTTGTATTTATGTTGAAGTGGTGTGCATGCGGCTGTAGTAAGAGCGATACCTACAATATCAAGAGTCTAGAGGGGGATGTCTTTTTTAATCACTTTTCTAAAACCAAACCTTTTCTCTTGTGAAGTGAAACATATTGTTTGAAAATACAAAACAATAAAGTAAAAGGCAAAAATAGTGAGGTTGCTGACTTTTTGTCTAGGACATGCAGCCACAGTCTTTTAGAATAATATCATGTAACATTAGCCATCAAGTGCAGATTTAAGACCCTATTACGCGTTCTTAATGGAAACATTAAAAAGTCAGCCGGAGATGCATTTCTCAGTCAACCAACTGAGTAAGCTTTAATTAACTCAGCTAACGGAGAGAAAACCGGAGAGAACAACGAAACACTGCTTTTCTGTCCGGTACAAAGGTCCGATTGTGGCGTCAAAAGATTAAATGTAGAGAAGATGAAATAACAACAATCAGTCAAAGTAGAACATAACCCACCGCAGACTAGAGGATAAATGAACAGATTTTGGGTCTGATTCGTCCCTCCAAATAATTGCTGTGGCATTCTGGAGCCAAGGCTGGTCGGAACTAATTATTGGCCCAAATGATCCTGTAGTGTGAAGGGTTCCCAGGGGTTCTCAATACTCAGGTATTGCTATAGAACTCGTAGGCCAGCCTTAACTGTTTTGTTCTGAATTGGGACAGTAGTCCATGACATACTAGGTCCAGGTAAATGAGTCTAGTCCTGGGCTTTTGTTTCTTTTTACTATGACAGGTGACAGCTACTGGGTGTTTGATGCTGAGAGGAAGATTACAGGACCAGATTCAGTGAGGCAGCTGGGTCTTCCTGTAACAGATATCCAAGCAGCTTTGAAGTGGGGAGAGGACCGCAGGGAGAAAGTCTACCTCTTCAAATCTGCTTCTTACTGGCCATTCAGTCTTCTGGAGAATCGAGTCGATGACGTCCATCCTCGCAGCATGCATGAGTGGGGAGGACTGCCCAGCCATATTGATGCAGCCTTTCGGGACAGATATGGTGAGGACTGGGATCGGGAGGAACCTACCATTTGACCTTTATGTTAGTTTTCTTTGTCTCTGGCCTGATGACTGGGGAAGGTCCATAGTTGACTGTTTCCTTCTCTCACCCTCTGCCAGGCTACGCCAATTTCCTGAGTGGGCTGCACTACTGGAAGTTTGATCCTGTGGCGTTAAAGGTGCTGGAAGGCTACCCCCGCAGCATAGGAATGGATTTCTTTGGCTGCTCTGATTTCCGGTCTAAATAGGTTCACATACATACATCTGATGACCCTCTGAAAAGCAGTAGGTTGACTTTTCAGCTTAATTCCCCATACATAACATTCTGGCTATTTTGGAAACCTACTTAAGGCAAACTCTTGCCAACATCATTGCCTGCTGCAACCAAATAGTTTTTTTAAATCAAGAGATTAGCATTTGAAAATACTGTACATGTACATGGTTTCTAGATTTTACTGAGAGTATAGTTTCACAGTAACTGTCAGTTGGTATATGCATACTTTTTCAGGGCCAGGAACGCTTTTGTCAATTAGAGATGAAAATACACATCTGGAGACAGCTGGTTAAAACTGTGGATGGTGGTGAAATTCAGTCCTGACAGACTTCAACCCTGCCTTTGGCACCAAAACCCAGATGCATGAATTTGTCCTCCACCATTTAAAGAGTAACAGAAATTATTATTATATTTAATTATATCATTATAATTAGTTACATCACTTGTTACATTACAGCGCAGCGCCATCAAAGGTGTTTTTAAACGACTCCAAAGCCTCCACACCCACAAGTTATATCTTCTGTATTTAACACGTGTACTAATAGAAAATGAAGCATTGTGATTTAACAAGCAGCCGGATGTTATGCAGGTATTTACCTACCTAGCTGCTAGCTTAGCCCCAGTGACTGCACCGACTGCACACAGCACTACAGAGGTTCTGTCCTCACAGAGAAGCCGGGGAGTTGACTGGTAACACCCTCCAACTGCAAAAGCAGCTCAATCCTGTGTGCATGAATATTAGTGGCTAACATTAGCAAGCTAGGAAAGAACATAGAACATATAAATTAGACAACTTTGGAGTTACCTGGAGTTGAATTTCTCCTCTAACTGTCCCCCCTCACGCACCTCCAACCCATGCACAGAGCATTCTGCTACCAACCCTCCGTCCAACTCCTGGTGGGACAGTAACAGATTATTACTAAATTTCAACTTGTAATCCAACTACTTGTTTCTGAAAAAAATACTACTGCCCAACACTGCTGAACACTACTATATACTAAAACAAAACATCCCTTCACCAAGCCTCATAACTTAAACTACACAATTGTCATAGATATACTCCTTGAAATGTTGCTGTTCTGTATAGTTGGCAGTACATATACATCATAAACTAACTAATGACAGCAGAGAATCTGAATAAACACCATTATATGATCAGTTATCCACAGTTTGGTGTTCACAGGAAATCCTTCCTCCCTAGCTGCAGCCCACTACCTCCCTCCCTGATACATATATCATACATAAAATGGCACACACTATCCAACAGTCTCCCCTTGAAAGCACTGAATGATAGAGACGAAAAGTGACTGAAGTAGTTTTGTGATGAATGGAAAAAGAGAGATTGAGAGAGAATTTTAAACCTTGCCTATGTTCTCACAACTGCAAATGCATGAAACTTCATTTTAGATTTTCACATGAGCTAAAGAGTAACGTTTGCCTCCAACAGCAGCTGAATCCAAAAACTAAGTTTACTTTGTTATGCTAGGTTCAGACTACACTAACAGCCTGATGATAGCTCAACCCGATAGAGGTAGGATGTGGGGAATGAAAACGGGCGTTGAGCATGACAACTGATCATTTTATCCCGTGTAGTGTAGCATAGTGCACGACAGCATCACAACGTCCTGACAGAAAGAAATGCGTGTCAACCTTTTGCTTTCCACAACAAATTCCATGAAGTGTCCCAACGTTGACCAATAATAGCACAGAGTACTCTCAGTTCATAATCGTAAACATGGTGAAGCAAAGAGGAATGATGTTGTTGCTGCTAAGTGGAACTGTGACGCAGAGTGCATAAGTGTGTTAACACTGACGAGTATAGCAAAATGCAGTGCACTATGAGTACCCAGTACACTCATAACGATCAAAGAGTTGAGTGTGTGATGCTGGACACTTCTTAGTCTGAATGGATGCCATCTTAGCTACATAACGAAAAGGGAGGAACCACCAAACTGTTTTCAGACTTGTGAAAATGGCGGCAGCGGTTGCGATTGTAAAAGTACAAGGGAGTTCATTCGTAATAAGATTTAATAATAATAAAAAAAAAAGCCTGCAGAAATTTAAGAGGGAGACAATTGCGGTAGAATGTTGGCAATAATGACCTGCCCATTTACAATTCCTATTAAAAAGAAGAAGAAGTGGTCAAATGTTTGGATTTCCACACAGTAAAATGAGTAAACCCAAATTAACACTGTCAGAGTTGATTTTAACACTTTTTAGAGTGTTTATATGGGTCCACACCACGGAGTGTTAATTTAACTCTTTTTGGAGTGTTGGTACCTTAACACTGATTTACAGTAATTTTTTACCCTTTTTGGAGTTAAATATAACACTTCTTGACACTGACCAGTTTTTCCTCAACACTTTTATGTAGTGTTTACATTAACTCTCTCAGTGGATCATTTGTTAACTACACACTTTAAAGGTGTGAATATAGCTCTTCCATATTCCTAAAAAATATTTGGGAAATAAAGTTTGCAAAATTAATGTGTTATGGGCCTTACAGGCACACCACAAGAACTGCACCGATGTGCTATAAAGCCCAGTATTTCCAATGGCTTAGAGGGGTTTGCTGCTGCTTCAAGCAACACTCAGCGAACCACTTTGTGTTCAACTTAGATGACCTTTTGTGACCAATTAAGTATTTTGGACAGCACACCTGAAAAACTACTCTGGAAAACCCCAGCATAAACAGCTACAGCAGGGGTTTTCAAAGTCTGAGACTGCGGGCCTCCCCTCAGACAAAGCTTGGGAAACGGCACCACCCCACCAGATCTTGAGTTTACTTGGTAAGTTTCGCTCCATTCTTGGATGCCTGTGGGATCATGATTATGTTATTTGATCCCATAGACACAAAACATTTGAGCCAAAATAGCCTAATACTGCTGTTTGACATAACTTCTGACTACAACAAATAGATTCAAAAAAAGGTCGTCCTGAGGCATTTATTAGTTTCTGACTCTGATGGAGGGAAAACACAAGAACTACCGTATCTCTGTACTCTCACACATGTAGGCTATTCTAAGTGATCTCCTTTGAATAACTAATGCAATAAGTAATGTAATATTGTTTCACTTCCATTCACTGAGCCTCCCCTGAAATTGTTTGGAGCCCCCCTAGGGAGGCCCGCCTCACACTTTGAAAACCCCTGAGCTACAGTATGCTGGACTGACCCAGACACGAGGCAAAGGTGTGAACTAAGGTGTACCCAGGGGGAGCTTAGCTCCCCTTAATAAGATGAGCTCCCCTAAAAACATGATTTGTGCAATTTTGGGGGGCCATTTTTTTGCCATTAATTTCTATATTTCTGTATCATCGTGGATCATGCGTAAAATCAGGAACGTTGTGCTTCATCCAGCCAGAGGGAACGATCGGCAAACCATCTGCAGTGTGCAGATCTCCTGTCCCTGTACGCCCCATTCCCTCTCCAATACCTACAATGACGCCCGGCAATGACGCTGTGAACAGTTGGTGATCATTCCTTCTGGCTGGATGAATATTACCATGATCCATCGACGTCAGGTTGAAAGAGTGTAGAGAGACTGCCACAGCTGTTGTGTTGAAATGCAGAGTTGCAAGAAGTTTGGGCATGGCTCCAAATCAGCCCTTAGGTCAGCCAACAGCTCCAATATGGCATAGCTGGAGAGGCAAAATGTGCACATTATATGTTCCTCAGTCATGCCAAAAACATTGACAGGCTGCAGCCTTGCTCTCCTTAGATTCAAGATTAAATTAGAAATAAAAGTGTTTTTACATTTAGATTTCCCATATTGTTTACTTCCGCTTTCCAGAACTGGAAACTGACTAAACCTGGCCTAACATACTGCAAAATAAATCTATTTAACAGTTTCATACTGCATACTAATATGAAAAGCAGTATGTGGTAGGTACTGCATACTGCAGTAATATGTAGTAGGTGAAATGTCACTACTATGGTGAAAGCATTACCTACTACATGCTACATGCCCTACTGCGCCTTTGATTGGCATAGCCTGACGATGATTCTCACATAGCCCTCGCTGGAAGAACAGGACGTTTTGATGTTCTGCTGTCTTTAGCATATTAGCTCAAAATTGTTAAACTGTAATATTTTCTTCTAAATGTGAAAGACTGAAAGCTACGATTGAGCAGGGACCAACATGTAGCTGTCAACTCTTGGCCAAGTGACAGCAAGAATGTATTTGACTCTATGATATCCTGATCTGACACAGAGACGATCTGAGCAGAAACATTTCGGGGCGGTCTGAACCCAGCATTAAACACACTCACACAGGAACACTTTGCACTTATGCTTTGCCATGTATATATGTTTAATATATAGCACAGCTTACAAACAATTAAATATGTTACTAATAAGTTACTTTAAAGTGGATTCAGCACCATCTTCTGCAACACGGACAGCTGACGTGAAGAAGTTCTTAATTGCTGCTTTGGGAAACACGTGTAGAAATTTAACAGGGTTCACAGAAACACTCACATTCTTACATCGGTTTGAGAACCACTGATTTAAATACTTACATTCTCTGACATTTGTGGTTTTGAGTGAAGTGATTCAACCATTGAATTGATGATGGAAGTCAACTATGCATTGCTGAGATTTGTGAGGTGTATGCGTAGGCTCTGACAGCCTCTGGTACCATACTGTTACCCATAACACCCCTCTCTGCGTAGCTTTGTATACTTTATCTTTGCAGAAGCACAAGTCCGTCCACCCTTCAGTCTTGTTCCTGTTCCACCTGGGCACCAGCTACAACCATTTCTTTGTTCACGCCGCTGACATTACACACAGAAGGGAATCTGAAGTTTTGGAGGCGCACACTTTACCTCTGCTTTGCCTTACGTATCTTCAAATCTTGGACTTTATTTTTCTTTCCAAAACATGTTAATCTCATTTGTGCTTTGACTGCTATCTCACTTGCCTTTGATTTTAGTCATTAGGTTGTTGTGATTGCAGCCTCCTTTAGCCACCTCAGTCACAGACTATTCAGCTCTGCAGAAACAGAAAGGGACTTTTGGCAGGATAAATATTTTGAAACTAGAAATCAGGACCAATCAGGAAATGACCCGTTCTTGCAGCATTGTGATAATGTAATTATTCTCAAAAGCTTTCCAGTCTAGTATTTAGCGTGAAGAGGGATAAATATCCTGGCACTGACTGTGTTAAAGAGTTGTATTGCTTTTGCTTTTTTGTGCCGCCAAGTGTCAAATGTAACAAGGGAATGATATTCATTCACAGTCAGTATTTAAAATCAACTTTAGGTCCTGCCCATTTCTCTCACCACAGCATGTTGAGAATGAGTGAAGCGGTGTGCTACAACTTATATTTAAGGTGCTATTTAAGGTTCTGCAGGCAACCTCATATATTACACACATTAAATCTGCTCTTTTCACTATTCAGTGTACTGTTTTGGTATTTTTTTTTATCAGTTTCAGAGCTTTGTTTCCATTCTCTGATTGTTATTGTGCCCTCATTATATAATCTCTGAGATGGTATTCTCAGAAAATTAATAAGAATTAATTAGAAATTAATTTTGCTGACAATATAATGTGTTTTGACATAAATCTTGTTACAATTCTAATCAGAGAAATGAGACAAGAGCACTGTCACTGACTTTGACTTACTGTATATTTTTTATGCATATTACATTTGTTCCTTTGTATTCAAGGTGTTCAAGATCAGTGCAGGACACTGATTATTGCTTGACTAAACATGTCATGTCCTACAACATATACCTGTATGTATCTGTTTGCCTTTATTGTTTCAGTCAGAATATGTATTTCTTGTTTGAATCATTTTTTTTTGTTTACAATAAAACCAAAAAATAAATACGCAAGTAATTTTTTCCTATTTCTGCAAGTAATAGAGCTCTAGTTCATGCTGGCAATTTTCATTTTAGAGCAGGGGTTTTCAAACCAAAACCTGTCCAGGGTGTACCCCACCTTTCGCCTGATGTCAGCTGGGATTGGTTCCAGCCCCCCGCGACCCTGTACGCAGGATAAGTGGTTGACGATGGATGGATGGATGGTTTTCAAACCCAGTCCTCTGGGGGGCGCGGGAGAGTTGAAGCGGAGGGAGGGATGTGAGGCAAAGATACTGTGTGGGGAAAGAAGCGGGTGCATGCTGGTGTTCTGAAAACAACAGGAAGTTAACCAACGAAGGTTAAAGTCAAGGGCAACTGGACTTGGTTGAAGATACTGGAAGACGTTTCGTCCCTCATCCAAAGGACTTCTTCAGTTCTGACTGACTGGCAGGGAAACTCAGCTATTTAACCTCAGTGGGGTCGTTGGCCCGGGTCATCGATACCGCTGGTTCGTTAGTGTTCCTTGTTGCTGTGACGACAGTCGTTACAGTCGTTAAGACTACCGGTGGCCAAGACTGAACGACATCGTTGGTATCTTCACCTGAGGCCAATAGGTTACGTTTGTTGAGTTTCCGGGGAAGTGATGAAAGGACAGCATTGTAAGTGGGGGATAAGTGGTGGCGTAGACCCCCTCCCCTGTTCAATGACGGCTTCTCAACCCTGGTGTAGATGCTTCCTTGACACCTCTTTCAAACCATCCATCTTCTCTGTCTAAAATGTGCACCTGGTGGTCCTCAAATGAGTGTCCTCTGTCCTTCAGATGTAAGTAGACTGCAGAGTCTTGACCTGAGGAGTTGGCCCTTCTGTGTTGAGCCATGCGTTTGTGTAGTGGTTGTTTAGTCTCCCCAATATACAGGTCTGTGCATTCCTCACTGCATTGGACCGCATACACTAGATTGCTTTTCTTGTGTTTGGGTGTGCGGTCTTTGGGATGTACCAGCATCTGTCTTAGTGTGTTCTTGGGTTTAAAAAACACAGGGATGTTATGTTTGTTGAAAATCCTCCTGAGTTTCTCTGATACTCCAGACACGTCTGGAATCACAATGTTGTTGCGTTTGACCTTTTTTTTCCTCCTCCCCTGTAGTTTTGTTCTTCTTGGATCTTGTGGCTGTTTTCACAAAGGTCCATTTAGGGTAAGTCCAGTTGCCCTTGACTTTAACCTTCGTTGGATAACTATGACCTGGATGACTGAGAATCTTCATAGACAACAGGAAGTTAATTATTGTAGTTTGGCTGCAGCAGCAGGGGCTGTGACACACAGCTTAAACACCCAATTATCACAATTTATCTTAAAAATTTAAATCAGTCAACATGTAAACAAATATACGCTAAAAACTGAGCCCAGCTAGTGCAACATTATACTTCCTGGGTATTGGGTGTGTTGAGGGGGCGCAGCAGTCTGGGGTTTGGGCCACAGTGTCACACTTTGAAAACCCCTGATTTAGATTGTATGTGCCCACACAGCTGCTGCTGTGTGTAGTTTTGTGTAGGCCCCTAAAAACTTAGAAACACAACTTTATCATCCTGCCTTGGGCATCTTTATGCACTGTACAGTATATTAAATGACCTAAATCAGTCCAAAACACTTTTCCTCATCTCCATAACGCCCTTGAAAGTAGACTCAGTTATTTGCTGCACATTAGTTAGCTGTCTGCATTTTGAGCAGTAGGCCTGTACAAATTGCATTGCATTTATTATTTGTAAACTCTATGATATTTGCACCATTGAAAGAGGTCCAGCCACCCCCAGTCAAATCACCAGAGGATCAGTTTAGTTGTTAACATGGTCGCGAGTCAATTATTAAAAAAGGGACCTGAGACTCCAGTTAAATACAGAAAAAGTATATAAGATGAAGTCATTTTAACCTAGGTGGTGCGACTTGCCTACAATCACACTCTTCTTAACTCTTCTATGCAGTTCCAATAATAATTTAATGGAGAGATGCAGTCCAAAGTGCTTCACAAAAGAGGATCAAAACAATGTTAAGCGGATAAAATCATATACAAAAGGAGAGAAAAAATAAAATCAGTGAGACAGTATAATGTTGACGTGAGGGGGCATGTATAAAGACAGTAAAATAACTCCCATAATATTTCCTTGAGGAACTTTATAATCAACATCAAGCTACTGTGAGTACATAAACTAACAAAAAACAAATAATTTCAGTCAAGCGTGACACCAGAGAGACCCACCTATTTCTCAAGTCTGGTCATTAATATGTAAGGATCATCTGTGTCCAACACAACACTTAAATCTAACTGAATGAGATCTCTTTATTGGCTTCAGCAGTCACTCATCATTTACTACATTCAGTAGTTAATCTGTTGACAGGTTCAATTCCAATTGTTGCTGCTTTTAGATGTTATTGGTAGTTTTGGTTCAAAGGAGCAAAGAGAAAACACTTTCTCAGCACATAACAAGCTTTACAGAAATTTGAGTACTACCATCGACTCTGACCTAACCTTCCAGTCACATATACCAAACTCACCTCTTTAAACGAAATCATTTAAAGCAGTGGTTCTCAAAGCAGGGTCCAGGGACCCCCAGGGATTCTCGATGGCGTACTTGGGTCATAGGTTTCATACACTTTCTGTAATAAAACATCTAAAAGCAAAAATCCTATCAGATGGGGGTCCGTGGTCTAATTTGTGTCAACCTAGGGGTCCTTGATGTCAAAACGTTTGAGAACCACTGATTTAAAGAATATTGCCATGGTCAGACCTTTCCTTTCTCCCAGTAATGCCAAGAAGCTTCAGCATGCTTTTATTAGAGGTGAGTTTGGTTCGGCCTTCTAGTGTCCCTGCACAGGCTTCCAGTCAGTTTAAAGATCCACTTTGAGATTCTTGTGCTTGTCTATAAATGTGAACTCCATCCGAGCCTTCAGACAAACACCTACTGTAAAACTGCTTTCTGTAGTTATGGCACCAAACCCTGGAATTCTTTGCACCTAAATCTGATGAGCGCAACATCAGTTGAGGCTTGTTTGACAAACAATATTTATAGAAATATGAACCATTTATTTACTATTGATATTTAATATATTGATTATACCTGTATGTAATAAGGATGCACTATAGTTATACTTATACCTATTTATTTAATAATTACTGAGCTGAGCAAACGCCTTGACCTTGAGTTCAGAATTTGTGTTTGTTAAGTTACTATTCCAGTGTCAAGAAGTAATGTTCAAGCTCAACATGTCTTGGGTACATGGGTGTAAACAATTACTAAGGGCTTTAAAACTCTTTATGCTGTATTAAACTGTGTTATCATGTGTGTAATCATCCATGAACTGTTTCTAGACCAGGTATGGATGCTTCACAGGAAAAGTTGTAATTATTGAATATTAATTAACACAAAACTGTCCTTAAAGTAAAGCGTTACTTTCCTCCTCTTTTTAAGTATACTGTAAAGTTTTAACTGTTTAAATTGTTTGCTCCTCTTTCATTACTCGTACCCAACACTTTAAGCTGCAGTTTCTGAATGAAAGGTGTTACATCAATAAAGTTTTTATTGTTATTATTATTACCTAACAGGACAGGACTTTCCAGTTCTGTCCACTAAGGCACCAGTTAGTTCGTTAGTGAGAAGAAAAGAAGTGAGGTGCAGAGTTTTCAAATGAACGGCCACATACTGTGCTGTACACTCACCTAAAGGATTATTAGGAACACCTGTTCAATTTCTCATTAATGTAATTATCTAATCACCCAATCACATGGCAGTTGCTTCAATGCATTTAGGGGTGTGGTCCTGGTCAAGACAATCTCCTGAACTCCAAACTGAATGTCAGAATGGGAAAGAAAGGTGATTTAAGCAATTTTGAGCGTGGCATGGTTGTTGGTGCCAGACGGGCCGGTCTGAGTATTTCACAATCTGCTCAGTTACTGGGATTTTCACGCACAACCATTTCTAGGGTTTACAAAGAATGGTGTGAAAAGGGAAAAACATCCAGTATGCGGCAGTCCTGTGGGCGAAAATGCCTCGTTGATGCTAGAGGTCAGAGGAGAATGGGCCGACTGATTCAAGCTGATAGAAGAGCAACTTTGACTGAAATAACCACTCGTTACAACCGAGGTATGCAGCAAAGCATTAGTGGAGCTGCAACACGCACAACCTTGAGGCAGATGGGCTACAACAGCAGAAGACCCCACCAGGTACCACTCATCTCCACTACAAATAGGAAAAAGAGGCTACAATTTGCAAGAGTTCACCAAAATTGGACAGTTGAAGACTGGAAAAATGTTGCCTGGTTTGATGAGTCTCGATTTCTGTTGAGACATTCAGATGGTAGAGTCAGAATTTGGCGTAAACAGAATGAGAACATGGATCCATCATGCCTTGTTACCACTGTGCAGGCTGCTGGTGGTGGTGTAATGGTGTGGGGGATGTTTTCTTAGCACACTTTAGGCCCCTTAGTGCCAACTGGGCATGGTTTAAATGCCACGGCCTACCTGAGCATTGTTTCTGACCATGTCCATCCCTTTATGGCCACCATGTACCCGTCCTCTGATGGCTACTTCCAGCAGGATAACGCACCATGTCACAAAGCTCCAATCATTTCAAATTGGTTTCTTGAACATGACAATGAGTTCACTGTACTAAAATGACCCCCACAGTCACCAGATCTCAACCCAATAGAGCATCTTTGGGATGTGGTGGAACGGGAGCTTCGTGCCCTGGATGTGCATCCCACAAATCTCCATCAACTGCAAGATGCTATCCTATCAATATGGGCCAACATTTCTAAAGAATGCTTTCAGCACCTTGTTGAATCAATGCCACGTAGAATTAAGGCAGTTCTGAAGGCGAAAGGGGGTCGAACACAGTATTAGTATGGTGTTCCTAATAATCCTTTAGGTGAGTGTATGTCTGACTTGAAATGCTGATGATTTCCATGTTTTGTCTCTCCTGCCTTGTGACATGAGTCATGTTTCAGTCATCCATCTGTGGTTACATTTGCATGCAGCAGATGG